CCGGTTTAATCCGGATTTTGGCCCGGTTCTTGCTAACCAACGGTTTAATCACCGCTGTCAGGACCCGGTTTTTATTACAGAACAACGCAATTTCGTGGCGGAGAACTAATTTTGTTCTTTAATACATTCACTGCGGCTATTCTGGGCACAATACAAAATTTGTTGTGTATTTGACACCATTATTAGCGAGGTAAAACTATATTTACTATAAAGTCAGCTATGTTCGCAAACACGTGTTATTGGTTCTTATCGTTATGCAAAATCTTATGGAGAATTCATGTTTAGCTTAGCTTGAAACAGTTTTTTTTTTCAAATACAACATGACATTTTCTTAATACTCGTCTGTCTAAAAATAATAATGAACTTAATAACCTAATTATTTGCCTCAGGCTACTAATTGTCCTTAACTAAAATAATAACTCAAAGGCACGGTAATACTATCTATACAGTATTCCAACTCGGCCATATTTTTGAAATAAATGTCAACAGCCGCGCGGTACGTCACCGTATGACAACATGCGCTAGNTATTTAACGACTATTATATAAACTTAACTGATGATAGGTACTCATATGATTCTGATAAAAAACGATTAATAAAATCAACAATTAATTGCGTACCAAACTCTATTTTTCTACAACCTATGAACATATCAGAAACCACCAAAATAATTCAATCTCTAAATAATTCAAACTCCTGTGGATATGATGAAATATCTACAAAAGTTATTAAATTTTGTAAACATGAATTAGCACAGGTTCTAACTTTTCTGATTAATTTATCCTTTGAAACAGGATGCTTCCCTAATGCTCTGAAGTTCTCTATAGTAAAACCAATTTACAAAAAGAACGACAAGTTAGATATTAGTAACTATCGTCCAGTGACATTAATACCTGTAATATCCAAAATATTTGAGAAAGCCATGCAAGGGAGGCTCATGGACTTTTTTCAGAGATTCAATATCATCACACCTGAACAATACGGATTTCAAAAGGGAAAATCAACTACCCTTGCATGCTTTGATCTAGTTCACAATACTATCCTTGGACTTGANTAATTTATGGACGGCCCCATAGTGTCATAGTCACATCTATAAATAGTGCCTGAAATTTTACTTAATGAATATTTATTCGGAATTGGCAATTGGCTTTTTTCAGCTTCTTTTCCTTTTCTACCGTGTGGTGGACTATAAGAACATGGATATGAGATTTCAACAGCTATGGCTGCCTAGACATAAAATGCATTAATATAATTTGTCGAACAACCGAGTTAACTCAAGCCCTCAAATACTTAAGCAAACTGAGAAAAATAGCACAGTTCCTAATTATCACTGTGGGATAGTCCGCTCTTGATGTCATAAAATAAAAAAAGTTGTGGAGAGACCAATACAATAAAATTAATACCACGTCGAAGACGACGAGCAAAACGTCAGCCGTATCAGGTAAGCGGTTGGAGACGTCATAAATTGTTTTGTTTAAGTCTACAATTGTGCTGGTCTACCATCCACTTTATTATCTTTATAGTAATTTTTAGGCAAATATCCACCGGCGGTTTAAGGCAGATAGAGCCAGGTAGACAAAGTAATAAAAAATCACATTTTTACCACAGTAACGTTTGCAGATGTTTTCTAGTACCTAAATGACACTGTAAATTATTAACTGATATTTCAATTGAAGTATACATATTTGGTTTTAACAAAATAATGAATGAATCCATTAAATATCTTCTTACTTATTAAGTAAGCATCAAGCACTACTTAGGCTGGGTTGTTGCACGGCATCTTACTTTGACTTTAACAAACGTAGAAAATCTGTCAAACTCCATACAAAAAACACCGGTTTAAAGTTAGGTGGTGCAACTCAGCCATAGTATACCATTACGCAGAAAAACCTTCGAAAGTTACGTGTCAAACTGTCAACCTATAAACTGTCCCCATAAAAGCCTGGTGACAGACGCAGCGTCAGCAAGGCGGTGGGTTATTAATATTTTTATGAATGGGCCCGAGGGCGGTCGTGGCGCGTCGGAACGCGGACGGACGAGCGCCGGCGCCCGCGCCGCTTTCCCGACTTTCCACCGGCCGCGCGTGTGCGCTGACGAAAAATGCCTGTTGGCCTTTCTTTCATTTTCACTCGAGAAAGTCAATTTCCTAGTCTATTGTTATCGAATCTCCTCGTTTAGTTTGATTGTAATATTCTTCCGCGTATAAACTACTTGTTTTTGTATATTTTATTTTTACAGTTTTATAACAACAACTTACACTTCAGCGGGTCTGTAGCACTTCTAAATAGAAGCTGCTCACGGGTAAAGGAACTATAAATCGCCCTTGTTTTCAGGTTTATTTTACAAGCTTGTTTAGGACTTTAACTTGTGTTCTACAAATATATTTCAATTTATTAGCTCTGCATTGTTAGATTCTGTAGATAACACAAACATTGATTATTACACCCAGTAACTACTCGTAGTTAGCAAATTATTATTATAATAATTACTTTGCATTGTTTTAAAAATAACACTTTTATGAATATTTCCTTGAGCTACTGGATTAAATAGGCAAGAGGTAGCATTACTCAACGATGTCCGCAATGACTGTAACATCTTATTTTATATTGGAAACCTTCCTTTTCCGGATGTTATACCTACTACTGGTTATAAATCATTGGTTATTCAAAGAAGTTATTTAACGATAATAACGCAGAATTTTACGATATTCTCCACAAGTCGTAATGACTTAGCAGAAGGTTCAGTAAACACTTGTTGGTACTAAGTACGTAATATTTAAAAATATTTATCTGCAGTTGGAGATAAGAGTATTTATGATTCAGGTGCAAATTATTCATTTCATAACAAATGTTTTTCAAGCTTCTTTTGTTTGTGTCGTCTATTTAAGTCTTCCAGTATCGAATGCCGACGGTTCATTTGAAGATCACGTTGTACTTTTCCAAAATTAACACGATAATCCCACAACTGGTCTGGAATGTCTATTGTTGCAGAGATAAGGAACGGACCCTTCACCAGTCCAGTCCTTCACTCAGGTAGACAGGCTGGAGTCGACGGTACTTGTTATTGCAAGTTCGAATTAGCAAAATACCACTTGATAAAATACGGACGCAGTTCTAAGCATGGATGCCAGGATAGTTTGGATGCGAAAGGACGGAAAAGGGACTTCATAGTCGCAGTTTTTCATATTCTTGAAATTAACCATGTAGGAATTTCTCCGCAGACTAACTTCGAGAAATAATGAAAATCTTTCTGGGATAGCAACCGAATGATAAATCATCACCCAAATTACACATGTTAACGTGAAATAAATATTAAATCACCGAAGAAGGAATTGTTAGCCTGATATCCCATGACTTAATAATATAGGTCATTATCACAAAATTAACCTAACAAAATTAACCTTACTAAGTTAGGTTTAAAATCAAAGGAAACTTCGTGCGAGAACAAAACTTTACACTACAAGACGGATCCAGCCCGTGTGTCTTTCTTTGAATGTAAACATTCCCTAATTTTACTTTCTAAAGTAGGTACGACTACAGGTAATCATTAGGCAAAGTGTAGGATACAGTGACGTCACACTTTTTCAAGGTACTGGCATGGCAGGTAGATTTCACTTTAGGGTTAACTTTACGTTTTTAATTGTTAGCTTGTTAACCGGCAATGAGCAATAAAATGACGCTCAGGTAGAGGGCACTTTGGTATCAATGACCAGTGTGATCAGTCTTTAAGCAGTTAAAATATATGCGACACTGAAACAAGTGACACTGAATATTTTGAGCAAAATAAATAACCAAATAATTTGTTTCTTGTAGATTTGCTTAAACGATTTCAAGGTCAATGACGGGTTTTAGTATTCTTTTCTTATAAATCATTAGCCAGAAATAAAAGACAAAAAGATTTTACCAGAACTGCCACTGATATCAATATGAAATAATGTTTTGTCGCTATTGATATTAAATTACCATCTGGTGTATATTTATTTAATGTCACCCATCCAGTTGACAATGGCAGTAAAGTCGTTTTGACTGACCAATTTAGCCTAATTGCTGATTAGCTAGTTACATTGTGGTTAGAGTTAATGTTTTTAATACAAAATTTTGTTCAAATATTGAAACTGGGTCTTACTGAGCATAAAAAGACGGAATTTGGTCATCATGAATAATTGTGTTCTGGTATTTTTGGAAAATTCCCAAGAAGTAAGAGAATGGGGAACTATAGGAGTCTAAATGAAAATTAGGAACTGAATAAAATACTAAACAGCTAGATTTGTCAGATAATAGAATCCACACCGACAAATTCATCTATAGATTTGGACTTTTGAATTCCGAAATCGTCGTCTCAATTAATCAATCAGAATGTAAATGAACCGATTACAATAGTGTTGCGATCGCGTGCAACGCTGCGCTGGCGGTCGCAACCCGCAAGGACAGCGCAGGACGAGCATCCGTCCTCCATCGTCACGCGCAGGTAGCGACCAGAGGACGACATGCCCATTGTTTATCGATGCTAATTATTATGCCCCAACGCAGACGTTTGCAGACCGCCGCGTCGCCGAGCCGCTGCGCAAAAACTCTCGATACACGTCTACCTGAGAATAATACGATGAGTTATTTTTATTCACCTCGTCATCGACCTTATTCATCAGCGTCCTCGACGATCATCTCATCGACATCATAAATAAAACCAACGACCTAAAATTTGGGGAGAAGCATACATTTTTTATAAAGGCATTCTAGTTGATCATTGAACTAATCTCAATGACGACAGAACGCTGCAACTATCGCACTCGCAGTATCGCGCTCGATTGAGGACCGTTACGTGAAAACGTCGAGCGCGCGGGGCGGGGCAGAGAGCCGATACAGCGACTCGCGACGGTGGCGCCCGAGCGCGGCCGATCGCCGAGTGCCGAGACGTCGTACGAGCGGGGGAAGCGGGGGTGCGCCACTTTATCGCGGCGAGCTGGCAACGTCGCCATCAGGGTGGGAGCGCCCCGCGCCGCAACCTCTCACTCACCGTCGCCGGCTCGCTATCGCCATCATCCAGTGTTACCTTTGACGGTCGAACGCGCGGTCGTTCGCCGTCAGTGAGGTCGGTGTCGACGCTCGTGCAACACGTCTATGATGTTTCGGTGATTTCAAAGTCGGACTTGTGAGTGGACGTTAACTCATTACCCATCAAATACTGGAACACAGTGACAAATAAAAATCAAACTACCCTGGATTTGGATGTTTTTATGGATTGTGAAAAGTGACAATTTGGATTTTTGCGAATCTAAACAGTGCAGTGTACCAACAAAAAAGGATTGCAACTTAGTGACAAACATTGGATTTTGATCGGATGAAACTGAAGTGCTTTTTGGAAAACGGTGCCCGCCTTGTGAAGTGAAAAATCAAAGTAAATAACAGTGAATTATTAGAAAAGTTTGGAAGAAGTTTGTTGATTTTGTTTGGACAAGTTTAAAATTTTCTCTAAGTGTTTTTCCGATTCAATAAAAATAATGAATCAAAGTAACGAAAATTTAAACACCTTAAAAGTTCCTGAAACTTGTCTAAATAAAACAACTTGCACATCTGCCACCTGTCATAGACTAGCGCACGTTGGATTTTGCCTCAGCTGATCGAGTGACGGATCTTCGAAGCGTTCATCGTTGTGCAAAACGAGTGAATTATTGCCTGAATGGAGAATTTTCAAGAAAGTGATAACACGTATTTTATTTGCGTGACAAAGTGAAAAAATCCAAAAAAATCTGTAAATTGGAAAAGAGTGAAAAATGTGCTGAGAAAAAAATTCTGGATTTACAAAATCCAAAATATTCGATGCAAAAATAATAACAAAAAATGCGCTGTAAACGATGAACGTTTCGACGATGGTTAACGTTCAATAGCGAACGGCTTGAGCGTAATTTACGCGTGCCACTCGATAACAGCAAAATATGTTACGCTCGCAGCAGACACGAATACAAAATTGGAAGGAATTGGAATCGGATGGATTTTTTGCCGCTGTCAGTTTGTTGTGATGAGTATGGTGGTACAACGTGGAACGTGTTTCAGGGGGTGTCTCACCACCGACAGGACGGCGAACGCTGGTAGCACGGCAGGGTACGTGAACTCGTCTGTCCACTACGGGGGAGCGCAGGCTCCTGACCCTGGCAAACACAACCCTCAGCAAGGGACAATTGGATACAGAGTCAACAACCCTAGGTAAGTGCTAACTATAATTTATTTAGAGCAATGCCAGTCAGATGAATTAATTAAAATTTATGCGAGTATATAAGCAATGCAATGCTTAGATTTTTTTAAACTCAAAATAATTATAATAATAAAACAAACATTGAGAAATTTCATGTTCTACCGAATATCATCCAGTTTGTAATTTTAAACGTTAATCTAACTAACCGATTACACGCTACTGATAAACTGATAAGACAAACTTTTGACAATGACATTTTTAATTATTGTAGTAGGTATGCCATTTGCCAACGCGTAAAATAATAACAAAATTGAAACTGAAAAAAATATATGTAGGTACTTATAAAAAAAATTTTCTGTTTTGAACATGACTAGACCGTTAAACAGCCTCATAATACATTATATAAGTAAATAATAATATGCAAATGATATTCACAAATATTTCATACTGTGTGTAGGTACATGTAAATTTGATAGTTTCGGTAAATGCACCTAAACCGCGTCTTAATCTTTATCAGTAACGTACCAAAACACCATACATGTTTTTATCTTATCCGGAACAAGTTTGTTTACATTTCAACAAAACGCTGAAACGTGACTCGGCTTACCTGCGTAGCCTTATCGTTGTTAACAAGCAATAAAATCAAAAATACTGACTATGTAAATACTTTAGTGTTGTAAAGACACTTGAAATTGTCAATTAAAAATTATAACGGTAATCAAATTAATAAAGTGCCTAATTAAATAATTTAGTTAACTTTAAATGAGAGAGAATTAAACGTACGGAATCCCTCCATGAACGGAGGGTGATTTAAAAGTATACAAGTAAGTGTGACATTGTCGACCGCGCATCGCTGCTATTATAAATGAAATGTGCTCTTCCATTCACACGCACAAACGCTTCAGGGCACCCAGAACTCACACAAACACGCAGCGAACTCACACTGCCAAAGAAGCTCGCACACATTAGAGTGCGCACTCACACAGCCACACAATGGGAATGCAAGCGGTGACTGCACTTAAGCGCTTACAATAAACACAACAAATAAAATATTTCACTTAACTCAGAATTCTTCATTCGAATCAATTTAACTTGTCACAATAACAAAATTTTCATAATAACTAAAAATATAACTAAAGAATTGAAACTACGAGTACATTGCGCTTCGCGAAACGCAAATGCATTTTTTTCGAATCATAAAGTAAAATAATAATTTGATATAAAAGAAAAAGTCTAAATAAAATAACAAATTGAAACAAGAAACTTCTAATTTAACGCCAACCGTTGCCGATATAATTATTGTGAACTATAAAATATTATTATAATAAATAAAAAACCGAGCAGGTGCTAAGTCGAAGCGCTCAACGGCTTTGTTTTGTAGTCACCTTTACAAACGACATATTGTTGATGGCTGCCTACCTCTATACAAAACCAATAAGTAAATAATAATAAAACCGGGACCGGCAACGAGATTGTGTGAACAGAACACAGGAAGTCTACCTCATTTCAAGGGTGGTAACAGGGCAAACTGTTACCGAGTGAAATATTATGAATAAGGACAATTGGGTTTATGAAACTTTAAAGCCAATGTAAACATAAAACAACGAACCACAAACACGCCCAGTTTAACAGATTTATAAGTTATCGTGGGAAAATGTTTTCAACGGCCCGAGCGGTTGGGGGCGGATGCACTGTCACGAGAATGACAACTATTGCACCACGTGACTCGCAAGGTCGAAGAGATGTGAATATGATGTCCTGATTGACTCATAAACTGAAATGATAACAGTTATAGAACCACCTATTAATAGAGCAGTGTGATTCACTCATAGCTCAATTGAGATATTGATTTAAATCGAATCATATCAATTTCAATCATCAAACATAGTTAAGCCGCATCAAGACACTTTCGTTTCAATTTTATCACCGACAAACAAATTATTATCGGGAGCATAATAATAAAGCCCCATATTGACGTGACCGGGCCCACTTACCCTAAGCGGGCGAGTCTAGCCGACCCTTCCCCGGCCATTGTGTCGTATTTACCCCGGAACGCTCGCCTCCATTTGTAAACCCCCGGAATCCGCTCCTTGAAGCGTGATTCATTCTCTCCGATCCCAACATCAATTGAAAAGAATGAGATAGATATCGAAATATTAATTAACCAATTAATCTAATCTATCCTCGTCGCCATTACTTCTATCTTCTAATTATTGACATGCCGGTGAACTTTTAATCCAATTTATTTGATTATAGATGTTTTATTAACTTTAAGGTCTTATACTGTTGAAAATTTTATTAAAATCAATACGATAAAAATATGGATTACAGTTCACGGTTCGTTATTATATACTAGTTAACACAAAAACCATTCTGTTAATAACGTTAACGCTATTATAGCAATGGCAATGTGCGCACAAGCCACAATGTGAAGTGGCATTTAAATGGGGGTGACCAACTGTCGTCGAAACACTGGGGTGGAACACGCCACGGCTTCACTCCGCCTGATAGTAATCTATACGGGACTTACAATTAATGCCTTATTTAACACTCTAACACGAATAAGAAAACTGATATATCAAATTATTCTAATTTATCTCACCTAACAAAATAATTGGAAGTATGAAAACTAAAGTAGAAAAGTTTTCAAACTATGAAAACATGAAGAGCTGTCGTTACTATCGATTCAGTGCACGATTATCCCCACTGCCAATTAACAAGGAATCCAACACGTCTGCGCAGCAATCTAAAATTAACTGCAGCCTATGTATCAAAATACCAACGCGTTACTCGCACATCTCTCAATACTATGCCAAACACCTTCCAGCTTCTCGAAATAGCGACATGCCTACTCATTCATATTGATTTATTTGGGCGTTATGGAAGAAATACAAAGTCCACCTTGAAGAAAATCTAGCGATTTTGTAATCACAAGCAGGCATTTAGAATTTGATGTAATCGAAAAAAAAACATTGAATACAGTACATACCTTCCAAATATTCATGGTCTTCCGAAAGAAGCATCAAAAAAACAATGTTCCACGAATTGTCGCAAAAGGAACGCCTGGGTCGAGCGCTTACATTCAAGATCCCAAATATTTTGAACAGAACGTAAGTGATTATTCGGATGTGGTACCACTTTTACAAAAAGTGCACCAGAATACACAGATTTTTTGTGGGCTACACATTCTGGTCGGCAAAAAGAAAAAGGCTGAGACATAACTATAAAAGAAGTGCAGGTCGGGCCGAGTTTACCTAAGGAAGGGCCCTTGTAAATCATCCGCAGTGTCGATGAATAGAGGCGACGTCGGATTGAGCGTTGTTGACTTGTGTGTTTATTGATTGTCGACGCTACTAAGTATCTGTTAAGTAATTTTGAAGAACACTTAAGTACAAGCCGTTGAAGGCATGAAATGGCTGTATGATTCACGTTGATGAATCATTTATTGATTACTGAATGAATATGTATAGATAGGGCCAAAAGATAATGATGATAACGAGCAGCAGAGTAACATAAACTTTCAACTCATATTTTCGAAATACGAGAAATGTTTGTTGTGATGTAACCGAGTTTGCCATTCATTAAAATAATTTTATAAAAGTGCACAATAGCCCAATATTGTTGCACTACTACAGAGACGCGGGTAACAATGGGCAGCCCGTGCGAGTGTTTGTCGTGCATTTGTCGAATGGGAATTATTAGGAAGGGCTCCGGGACGGCTCGGGAATTCGCCCCAAAAGCAGTTCACATGAATCGCGCTCCCACTCCGCGGCGCCATACAAAAAATCAAACACATCCCGAGAGAAACACAGGGGTAACAGCGCGTCACTCTACGTCCATATTGATTTTTTTCTTTCATTGTTAGTAAAATAATAAAATCTCTGTACACCTTAAAAAAAGATCTTGCTTCGATAGGATTTGGGTCGAATATTGAGTCTCAGTTTATTAATAATCGAAGCGTTAACGTGTGGAATGTTCGGCTCTACAAGGCCGCTTGCAATAGAAACTGCTTGTATCGTGAGTGAAATAAAATTAACTGGACCGATTTCACATTCAAAACCTACTTGCTCTGTAACTAACCGACGATTTGCTGTGAAATCAAGTAACCGTTGATAATTGTAACATTACACTGGTAAAACTGTAGAACAAACTGCGTCTATCAAATATTTAACTGATCTCGGTATTTTCTAATAAATAACGTCTTACAAACATTTGATAATCAAACATCTTAATTCCTCGGAGATGTGAAATTCGACTGGCATTGTTTCTACACGAGTTGTGAAACTTAAGATGATGGTATAGGTAATTTCTGGAACTGCAAATATAAAGTTATATTTTGTTATCAGCGGCTATGGGTGCGCCGGCGGTACGGGCGCGATGAGCGGCGGGGGCGAGAACGCGCAGTTCGGCGCCACCGCCGCAATGGTCGCCGCGGCCACCACGGCCGCGATGCAGGACTCGCAGCCCTTCTCGCAGGTAACCATCTACCAGCACATTGACAAGACACAAAAGATCTTTTAAATCTGAACAACAAATCAATGATTTGTCTTCAAAAAGTCATAAGCCTTCTTTCTGTTTCAGATGCAGAACAATATGACTATGGGAAATCCCCAATATGGCGCGATGAATGGCTACGGCCAACAGCGCAGCCACAACCCGGCCATGACGGGCATGGGAATGGGCGGGAACGGCGCCATGAATGGCATGAACGGCATGACTGGCATGGGCCAAATGGGCAACGGGGGGATGAACGGCATGAACCCAATGGCGCAGATGGCCAATATGGGGATGCACGGCAACATGATGCCTTCGCAAATGGGCCCGGCGCAAATGACAGGCTCAGCCAAGATGGGTCCTGGGTACCGGCAGCGACACAACCCTTACCCCTCTGGAACCATGATCATGAGCCGGAAAACCCAATACATGGGGGGACAACCCGGCTTCGGCCCTGGGCAATATCCCGCTGGTTACGGAGGTCGGCCTGGATTCCAGGGCCAATACCCACCTCAGCAACCGCTAGGTCCATCTGGGAATTTCGGTGGTAACATGAGAGGAACTATGAGGCAGTCGACGCCACCTTACTCAAACCAGGGGCAATACTTCAATGGTGGCGTGCCGAGCCAATTCCCACAGCACCCAGGTGGCAACGGACAATATGGAGGACAATATAGTGGACAATTCGCACAAGAAGTGGCCATGCGAACTAACATGAGTTACCAGCATAGTCCAGTGCCTGGGAATCCTACGCCGCCTTTAACGCCAGCCAGCAGTATGCCACCATACATCAGCCCTAACGCCGATGTTAAACCCCATTTTAACGAGCTCAAACCACCGATGGGTATCCAAAGTAAGTTTTGAAAACCACAAGAGATAAACATTTTTACATTTAATAAAAGAAGACGAATCGTAACTAACTTGTTTATATTTTTTGTTACAGACGATGAGCTCCGGTTAACATTCCCTGTTAGAGATGGTATTATACTACCACCATTTAGGTTAGAACACAATTTAGCAGTTAGCAATCATGTATTCCAATTGAAGCAGACGGTCCATTCAACGTTAGTGTGGAGGTAATTTACTGACTTCTATTTTATTATTAAGATATGCTTGCAATTTTAGATGATCTGAAATCCATCTCTTAGTAAAATGGCACTAATTTGAGTTTACGTTGTTTCCAGGTCGGACCTTGAATTACAACTAAAATGCTTCCACCACGAAGATCGACAGATGAACACGAATTGGCCGGCGAGTGTTCAAGTGTCAGTCAATGCTACACCATTAATAATAGATAGAGGCGAGAACAAAACATCACACAAACCATTGTACCTGAAAGAAGTATGCCAGCCTGGCAGAAACACGATACAGATCACTGTTTCGGCATGCTGTTGTGTAAGTATCTTAAACTATGAAATAGATAAAATTAATAATAAATAGAAAATACCTAGCCAGCTGTACAAATTGTGATTAATTACAAAAATTATAATAACTCTTTTTTTTCAGTCACATCTATTCGTACTGCAATTAGTCCACCGACCGAGCGTCCGAAGTGTCCTCCAAGGATTGCTAAGGAAGAGGTTACTGACAGCTGATCACTGCATTGCCAAAATTAAGATGAACTTCAACCAAGCGCCGGCAAACAACAATGGATCTAATACAGCAAACGATAGGGACAGTGTCGAGCAAACCGCCTTAAAAGTGTCATTAAAATGCCCAATCACGTTCAAAAAGATCACATTACCTGCGCGTGGGCATGAGTGCAAACACATACAATGCTTCGATTTGGAGTCGTACTTACAACTGAATTGCGAACGGGGGTCATGGAGATGTCCAGTTTGCAAGTAAGCATGATTTATTAACTTGTACTTTTTAATAGTTAATTGTGAATTTCGTAAACCTGGTACTAACGGATGTTCTATTTACAGCAAACCAGCGCAGCTAGAAGGTCTAGAAGTTGACCAGTACATGTGGGGCATTCTCAACACGCTTAACACATCTGACGTGGACGAGGTGACTATCGACAGTGGTGCGAACTGGAAAGCGGCAAAGAGTCCTAACAATAGTGGCATTAAGGTAAGTAAAGAGTACATACATTTATTAAAAGGAAGATCGCGATTTTGCACTGATTCTTGTACTAAAATGATTATGCTATTGCAGCAAGAAGATGATAGCAATGACAACAGTGTAGGAAAGAGGAGCAAAGCGGTGTCGCCAGGCTCCATGAACATGCCCACCATGAATAACTGGGATATGAACCAAGCGTTATCTCCTTACCTGCCACCTGACATGAACACCATTGCTAGCGGCTCTATGATCTCCTCGTACAACCAAAGCGGTCAGAATAGAAACCCTGGGTCGAACAATCAGAATTACGACTTCGGGATGAATAATGGCCCTGGAAGCAACGAGTTTGCAGGCAATGGACCATTATCACACCTCAACGACAGCGTCAATTCCTTGGACCCACTGAACGCGATGGAGAAGAGTCTAAACGAACAGGTATGTACACATTTCAATGACAAATCCGTTTTCCATTCTCCTTAAGTAAAAGGATATCCAGTTCTTTTGTTATTAATTATTGCGTGTATAAATGGAAGTTTCCCTTTCAATTACATAGAGTACTAAGCTCATTTACGCAATAAATTAATGTGTTTATCACTAATATTAATTTAATTTTCAAATTATCTTAGGCCAGATGTTTTGAACGCTTTGGATATTCACATTAACATAACCACCTTGTAAATTACACCTTGGAAATTAGGGAGCAATCACGACGTTCACTTAAGAACGAAAATTACATCGACACGATACCTCCGATAAATTATTTAATCATGTCGCTAATATATCTTACATTGATCTGTCCAACGTGTGTAAATATGGATATCTTCGACCGTAATGAGGCTTGAAACCTGAATTAGAAACTAAATTGAAAAAAGCAGCACAAAACTGACGATTCGTTCAACCTGCAGATGCCTCACACACCTCATACGCCACATACACCTGGATCAGCGCATACGCCGGGTGGCGGCGGCGGCGCGCATACGCCGGGCTCCTCTCACACGCCGGGCCCGCCATCTGTCGGGCACCACAGTCTGACCGACGTTGATATACCCGCCGACCTCAACTTTGACCCGGCGGCCGTCATCGACGGAGAGGGCACCGATAATCTCAATGTAAGTAGTTTTGGTATTTGTAAGGGCGCGGTTTGAGAAACGAGTTCTATTTCCAAAATACATAAGCACACTGGATGAACCCGTCGAAATTTTCAAGTGTAATACGCTGTTACGGCCAGCGTTTGTTTCATCAATGTTGAGTATACCTACCCTACATCTAACAGAAATATTGTTGCAAATATTTAACTGTCAGTTAAGATGAAACAGCTCGTTAAGAGTCGCATCTCAAACTAATTTGAAAATTATAAATAACTTGAAAAAACAGTTCGATTTTTTTCAAGTTATTTATAATTTTCAAATTAGTTTGAGATGCGACTCTTAACGCTAAAAATTTAATAACTACATAAGCACAGTTTAGAAGATAATAATAGGAAAGCTTTATTAGATAATATAAGGTAAACATAGGTGCATAGTCTCGTGCATCATCCAAGGTTGATATGAAAGTCTAAAGTCATAAATCATACTTCACACTGCCAAAGCGACATTAAACTACATTCGCCTACAGCATCTTGCGAAATCCTTGCCTAATAGTGAATTTGCAGATGATATTCTACAATTCTACATTAGTTACATGAAGCAAGTTAGCAATTAAAATCAAGTCTCACCCACCTGTTTCCATTTTCAGCTGTTGCCGGAAACGAGCGTAGATCCGATGGAGCTGCTATCATACTTGGATGCGCCGGCGCTGGGCGAGCTGCTCGCCACGCCCCCCTCCTCGTCCTCCTCGGCCGGGTCGCACCCCCCGCGCGCGCCCTCCTCCGACGACCTGCTAGCGCTCTTCGAGTGAACCTGCAACACACAGATTCTCCTTGCAGACACGTAACGACAAAATGCCGCGGCCACACATTCACCTCGCTCATGTTGGAGACGAGTTGGTAAATTACCTTTAATACCATAACGGTAAGGGAAGTGCAGTCACGGTAATACTATCTATACAGTATTCCAACTCGGCCATATTTTTGAAATAAATGTCAACAGCCGCGCGGTACGTCACCGTATGACAACATGCGCTAGGGCTGCCCATATGCAGACCCTATCTTCATTACATCTGCCTACTGACACATCTTTCTATCTAGTATTGTGAATGTATTTTGTGATTGTAATTTTTTTTTATTTTGACAAACAAAATACTTTGTGAATGAAATAGGATAAAAATGCATGTTGTCTTGTCATTAGTAGATTTAATTAAACAAATATATTTGTGTTAAGATTTAGTAACAAATGTTATGAATTTGCGACAGTTAAATGTATGCGCCTCGACTGAGGCGTACAAAATGCTTGATTATTATACAGGGTGTTAGGTAAATGGGTTTATAAGCGGACACTAGCCCATGTTAACATGTGCATATAACTGGTTGTATTGAAGTCAGAAAATTGATATCATCATTTTAATAATTTTAATTGTCATACAAATCTGATTTTATAAATTTTATTTTGAATGAAAATTAAAAAACAAATGATATGACTATTGGTTAACATGGGTCGGCTTGTAAAACCTAACACCCTGCATAAAAAGGTACTTGTAATTATTTTTTATAAAAAAAACTGTTTAAAAAACAACACATCGTCCGTTTATTACTGTGGCACATTCGCGACACCCCCGACTTTTGCATGTCGAGCGCATACCGAGATTTGAATTTCGAAGGAAAGCTCGCGTTTCGTCCGTTTATATGAAGTTACAATACTGTATGATAGTATTACCGTGTCAAAGGTGACTGACTGACTGACAGCGATCTATCAACGAACAGCCCAAACCACTGGACGGATCGGGCTGAAATTTGGCATGCAGGTAGATGTTATGACGTAGGCATCCGCTAAGAAAGGATTTTACGAAACTCCACCCCTAAGGGGGTAAAACGGGATGCACGCGTATTAAGCCGCGGGCGGCCGCTAGTAATGCATAATTTAAAAAAAAAAGTTACATTACGAATGAATGTGTATGAATCTCATCAAATGTATATTTTACAGTCAATATGTATGTTAAAAGTATTTTTGTATTAAGACTTTCAAGACTTTTCACAAAGAGCAGAAAATTGGCCTCTTTACCACACAATCCACTTTTACCCCATCATTCTTCCTACACTTTAAAGGCACGCAAGGCAAAAAATAAATCCAGTCCTCACAAAAGGGAGTGCTAACTTCAGTCTGCCTAGACTGAATTTTAGGCACTGCGGGCAGTGAGATAAGCGCAAAGTTTACGTATAATAAACTTTGGGAACTGACGACATGGACAGGTCACTATGTGCCTAGATATAAGGGCGAGAATAGCGTGGTCTCAGGTGAATAGTGGCCAGAATTAGCCATATTTTTGTAGGCACACGAACAGTTAAATGTTCAGTTTTATCGTTTTGTATGTAATTGGAAAAATGGCGGTTGGAGATTTATTAATTTAACGAATTTAATACGCTTTCGTAGGAAGCATTAATTTGCTGTTTGTTACTACGGCGCTACGAGCTCGTAGCGTTGTAGCGCTGTAGCTACGGTCGTGCTACGGTCTTGCTACGAAAATGATTGTCATGAGCATCTTTGATTTCATCTTTCTACAAAATAAAATTGTTACGGATTGAAGAACTTTTTTTACAAGACTTCATCCTATTCTATTAATATTATAAATGCGAAAGTTTGTATGGATGTCTGGATGTTACCATGTTTGTTACTCTTTCACGCAAAAACTATTACACGGATTTTAATAAAACTTTACAGTATGATTGTTTATAACCAAAAATAACATAGGCTATAATTTATGACGATCTGTGACAAACTAAATTTCACGCGGGTGAAGCCGCGGGCAAAAGCTAGTTTCAAATATTTTAATTTATTCTATCTAGCATTTCTATTGTTAACAAGCTTCCAATTTATTAAATTAATTATGTTTTTGGTGTAGCATGTTTCATTGTTTTTATGCCCATAAATCCAAACTAACCAAATTACTTTCACGATTAATTAAACTTACGGTTCTCAGTCATTAACATAACCACAACAATAATTACGAATGCCCATTTATATTTGTTAGCCTTTATTACAAGTGATTACGATCTGTGACCCTATTCTGTAAATCGATTTCGATGTATTCGTTCATTGCGTTTCTCTCTCTCTCCCTCTTTAAAAAAGGTCGATCTTATAAGAAATAGTTAGGGATAGAGGTTCGATATTAGACTAACGAATCATCATCAATTTAATTTTTAACACCCAGAGTCGTTTATGTACGCGTGCATGATGTCTATTAAAAAACGGAGAGTAGCAGTTTCTTGTGCTGCTTCTTCTCAGCACTGGCCCATTTATTGTCCCGAAGCAGTGGTAGGGTTAATATTGGGACGTGTAAAAGTGCTTTTGAAAAGCCCATTTGCAAAAATAAAATTAGTTAATATGAGTTTTATTGTTCAGAAGCTGTGGTATTTTAAAAAATGGGACGTATATACGAGATTTTTGAAAGCTGTCTAATAACAGCTGTACTACTAATTAACTAAAACACGTGTAAATTAAATTATTTAGTGCGATGGCCAAGTCAATAATTTATGTAAAACGTTAAAGATTTCCTGGCCTGGACTTGGTATTACATGGATCTCACAACTTTTTACCGTAGAACAACTGAGTTGCGAGACTTGGTTTGTTTGACAAGTATTACTCTTTTCCTCATTTAGAATAGCCCCCTCGATTACGATCAGTAAGTATTTCACAGTGCGAGCCATTAACCATTACATTTACTCAGAATGTGTAGTAATTATTGTTTAACTTCCTTTGACATGAGATTGTCGATAGGATTAGTTTCAAAGCTTGTATTCTGACTGTGTAATGACTTATAAAGATTGTTCGATTAATTCGGTGCTTATTTGTTGACATAGTTTTAACTTGGAAAGGATAGCAATTGACTCCTGGAACTAAAAAAGTGGTTTAATTCCCAGTTTTGGTGTTTTTACAGTTTACACTGTACATCTGTCAGTGAAGTTGGTCTTTAACATCTGATAATATCTCCTCAGATTGTCAAAAAGAGATCGATAAATTTTATTATTTCGTAAATCGAATAGAAAAAGCACGTTCTACTGAAGCCCCCTGCCCCTTTCACCTCTTTTATTTGTGATATTTTTATTTATTTTTGTTATAGCGATAAATACGAGTATACTATGGACAACGGTTAAGCTTCAATAAAATACATAAGTATTTTGCTGTGAAAATTAACTGTCTACCCAAAATACGGTTAATGAGAGAGCTAACTGATAAATGGTAAAAGACAGACAGACGTACGGATACAGAACAAAGCTATTTAAGTTTACGTATGTATTATACTGCTTATGTTTCATCAAGGTGTACCTACTTACGTTTGATTCCGATGAAGTGCTTAGTTACGTTTGAAGAAATTAATTTACAAGAAATTATCGCAGCTTTTTCAAGAGACCGGACAAATGACCACCACATCTTTTATAGTGTTTGTTAATCAATTATTGCGTATGTTTGATCAAAACCGGACAATCCGGGTGTACCCGGATTTACAGAGCGCCGGTCACAAAGAGCATCAGCAATATTCAACTGGACAGGCGTAGTGATGTGACAATGTCGTCAATGGTCCCGATATCGATAATATTATAACATGGCCGATAAGCGCTATTGACATCGAGCGCAAGCCGCATTCGTAATAATGTGCAATGTGCATGAAGTCAAAATAAAACAGTCCATTTTCTCCTGGTTTGGAACTGGTTTTAAGCTCGACAGCCGACATCATTGGTATTAGGCAGTCACATCGATATGGTTAACATCACTTTTGGTTAGGTATTTTGAAAACAAAACTACTTTTCGGTCGTTTTCAGGGCACTAAAGATTTGACACATTATACTTTAATTAATTATTCCACAAGTTTTTATTACGCGACGTTACGTTACAGTTCGTAACGTAACGTCGTAACGTAAATTACTATTACGTTCCCACCGCTGCAATTCGTCTGTAGCCGCTACAGGTACAGCTTGACCGCCAATAAAAACTCCACCAATGCAGGTCAAGTTTTGTCCCGGGAGAAAGTTGAATAAGATTTTATTAATATACCTACTTATCGTTACTCTTATCTTATTTACAGTAAGTAAGTACCATCACTAGTCGGAAATCCGCATCAGTGGTTAAATGACCCGTGGTTTACGGGAGATAGTCTAATTTACATCACACTGAACGCACAGGTAATGGTTTATAATGAACTACGACGGGTAGGCAGATATCTTTATGTTTATACGGTGATGGAGCTTTTCCAAGCTTCTAAGGATATGGGTGCCTAACTCAGCAAAATTTTTTGTTTCAACTACTTTACTAGATACTTAACTATGTGCTGACTCATTAAGACTTCGAACTGTAACGCAAATTAATTTACAATAATCTACGATAACTTAGTTTTTAGTTACTTTATTTTTATACAGTCGACAGATTTTACTTCACTTCACTATCACACCAACCGTTGTAGTCAGCCGTGTGTTAAAATAATTTTAAAGTCTTGAAAAGTAACTGAAAATGTAGAAAGTAAAGGAAACGTTCTTTTTACTCAACTGCATTTTCATGGAGTTTTAATTTTCGTGTTAATAAATAATAATGCAATGGCACAAATCGGTTATGACATAGTTACTTACCTACCATGGACGGATCGAACATGGTACACCGAAAGAATCACATCCATTAAAATTTTTAGAGATTTTTTTTATTTTCCCTGACCGGCTTAAGTATAGTACTTCCAACAATTGACAGTCAAAATTATTTAAATCCGTCCGTCAGTTATCAAATGCTAATCTGTTTTTAATCAAAATATCCTCAGATTTCGATGTTTGCTCATTTCCGTATAAGATAGATTATAATAAGAAAAAATGTGGATATTTGATCAAAAACATATTGAAATGTGATTGTTGACGGACGGATTGCATAGGGATTGATTATATTATAGCAAACCGGCATGATAGTTCCACCATGATATGATAACCCGTTCAGTGCCTGCACCTCCCAATCCCGCGTTATGACTCGTCCGCAGCCGACAGGCGGACAAATGCTGCGTAATCCCGCCCATTAATCAGGACGCCACCTCGGCGGAGATGGCTCACAGCTGATATTAATTGCGGGTGACATCTTGAATACAAAACGGCAGGCTTTCACGGATGAAATATTTGAGCCGACTGTATTGGGTAGTTTTCATTTGTCTTTTAGTTACTGAAATAACTAAGGTTTGTAACTCATAAGGCCAAATCTATACGTGAAGTGGTAAACAGTAAAAATCTGTAAAAAAGAGTAAAAAATGTGATATGGTGTTATTTAGGGTCACAATCAGGTTAGGAACCCTTAGTAGGTACCTTCTCAGCACTGGCCCATTTATTGTCCTGAAGCAGTGGTAGAGTTAATACTGGGACGTGTAAAAGTGCTTCTTTAAAGCCTATTTGTAGAAATAAATGAGTTTCAGGAGTTTTTTAGCTCGTGGAATGGATGACCGTTGTGGCAGATAAGTTCTTACGCGATGGCCACGTATGTAGACGGAAACGTGGGCAGGCCTCCCACTCATTGCGGGAATTCCTAATCTACTTATCATTTATCAAACAAAAGAATGAAGATTCCGTGCTTTGGTAACATGGGGGCGGCGTTTGTAGTGGTAAATCTAGGTCCTCTGCGGTCTCAGCCAAAGGTCTCTCGCTCCGCAAATGAAATAGCGTATTCTACACTACAACTAGCGTACAACTATACTCAACATCAAATAAACCGCACCTTCCGCGACGCGAATTTAAAAGATTTTCTTTTGACACAATCATGGTGACCCAACAATATTGGTGTCAATTGAAAGCCCAATAAATATCCTTAAAGAAAAACACATTTAATTTATTAATAAATCATTAACATATACCTACCATAAATGTGACTTACGAAGTGACTTTGGGCTCACCTCTGGGATCAATTAGACCAAATTTTATGGCTATAAAACCAAATAATGATCACACGTGTCCTCTTTAACAGATGGATAGCGATTAATCTCAACTTAACAGTTTTATAGCCATAAAAGTTGGCTAAAGCGTAACTACCTATTTTTTGAAGAAGTGACTCTGGATCATTCTAAAGACACATTTTTGGGGTAAAAACCTTTTCCTTTAATGAAATGAAGTTTAGAACTAGGCTTTTAAATGGTGCCAATATTGGTGGGAAGTGGGGATGCATACGTTTGAAAGTGCTTGTCGCGGGAGGTGCGATTTATTTGATGTCGAGTGTATATCCGCAAGGCTGTCGTCTATTAAGTTTGCGATCAATGACGTCACAGGCCGATATTACACCGCACGACTGCCACGACTGTTAATCTGTTGACAGTGCAGCGGCCGTAGCAGGACGTGCACTGAATATGGTTGTCAATACGTGCTATCGAACGTTATTCTATGCTATCGACATCGACGACTGGTTCACTGACGACATTATTGGAGTCTGTCACATAAGTGACTAATTTTGAGATGTATTTTTTTTTGGGTAGGCACTATTGATTCCTTATTGCAGGTCTGAATCGTACAGTCTATGGTAGATGTGCCATGGTAGGGGAGCGTATGAATGAGACAAAGTTTGTTATTGTTCTGTTTATTAACGTGAACTACGTGAGTATTTATACGATATACCTACTTAGATTGAAGATAAAATACGTCACAGCATCTAACACTACGTGTTAAATGTGCTGACACTGTGAACGTGATCAAGATAATATGCAGAGATTAAATATTATGCGTACCGGCACTGTTGGTTATCGATTGGCCGAAAATATAAGATTCCACACCAACTACGACACGTTAATCTGTTGACAGTGTACCGACCGCAGCGGGTACGTGCACCGAATGTTACTATCTCAGTATGTGCAGCGAGCGGTGCAGTGTCACGTTGTAATCTATGTTATCGAACTTATCGATATATCGACAAATGGTTAGAGTTGAAGTCTCTTACGTATTTTTGAAATGTGACATTTGGTAACAATCAAACCTAGTGTTAGCACAGAATAAGTAATANATTTGCATGTCGAGCGCATACCGAGATTTGAATTTCGAAGGAAAGCTCGCGTTTCGTCCGTTTATATGAAGTTACAATACTGTATGATAGTATTACCGTGGTGCAGTTGATTGTTGTTTTTCACGTTTAATCCGGAAATTTTGATCTACACACGAATCCAATGTAGGGCCGCGGCGGAACTGCATCACCAACCAATGTCAATTATATTCCTAACACTTGACTCATAATAATTGACATTCACTCATTTCGTTACGCGATCTGTCCGATCGCTGTGTTCTTGCGGCGTTGATTTAACTCGCTTCAGGCCAGAGATGCCCGACATTGTGATACTAGATTTTAGTTCCTTCTCCGCTGCCGGCTACGTTGAACATTGTGAATTAACCTTGTCAGGATCTGACACCGCAGGCTGCACAGTCCTGACTGCAGCGTTCAACATAGTCGCACCAAACGTCTTGTTCAAACAATGATGTTGGAGAACATTTATTAGGTATTTAGGTAAAGTATTGAGGCGAGGCGTGCGCCGCGTCGGCCATAGACACTGCGGTGTTGTGCATGTATAGTTCCTCGCACCGCCGCAAACGGCGGCGCTACTGAGCTCCTTATATTCTAAACTCTAGCATAAACTGTGACACAAATTTTCATTGATAATTCAAGTTCTTATTCGATATAATATAATCGATTAGAGTATTAGATTTGTGTCCATGATTTGTGAATAATTCGCCGGGTGTAAATAAAGAGTTATTTTATTGTGCTAGTTGGTTTGGTAACCCAGAGCGGGCGCGGTGCGGTGTACATATAGCGTAGGCGCCGCCGGGACGCTCGGAGGCATTATGAATCTTATAGTTCCTATTGGATGCGAGCGAACTATAATGTTCAATTGCCATTAATTGTAAAATATTCCTTGACGTTTTCGCATATTCTGCATTTTTAAATGGTAAGAAACGATAGGATTAGTGAGTATAGCGCTACTCGCATAATGGGTGATATAATCTAAATGAGTTGTTTGAAATCAACAAATTAAATGGTAACAAATTAGTTACAAAACTATATTGTAAATGTGAGTGCAAAAATGAACTCTGTTAAATTATTTTGCGTTATGTGAATCGAAGAATGATAGAATATATTTTAATTTCTATATAAAATAATGAACTGTATTATTTGTAAATATGAATTTAGTTAAGAATATTATATTACCTAGTTATATTTAAGAGAACATGGCAGATACTTATATGACGGCCAGTTTAGTATAGTATTACTAAAAATTTAAAATCTACACATGGTTTTACATGTACATAATACAAAATACCATATAATTCAAGGCTACATGCATTCAGAGTACAGAGTCACAGACTAATCTCATAAGAACCATGGAGATCTCCTTTTATCCAGTTTTTAGAACTATCATCATCACAAATCACATTTAATTTTATTTAATTAATTTTCTGATAATACTTATCAGTGATCTCAAAGCATTTCATTATTGAACTTTAATTACTTGCCCACTTTATAACAGAAACTATGTATTGGTATGTACTTACTTTACTTTCTCTAATAAATTAATCATAGCTATAAAACATCACAATTTCACAATATATATAGTATAAAATTTTGAATAAATATCGTCATTTTATGCATTTTTAGTCAAATATTTATGGAAGTAGTAAAACTTTTAGAATTCAATTATACATAATTATACTGTATATTTATTACATGGTTTTTAAAAAGAAAATTTGTTCTGTGCTCTGATATGCTCTTCTTTCCACAAGTGCAAATATGCCAATATACATACATTAGTAAAATGTCAATATTATTATGCTCATCCTGATTTTGAATATTTTTGAGAAAATATAATTCATTTGAAATTAAATCGTAAAAACTTTAACAAAAGTATTATGAGTCTGTCAATAATTTTAAACTAAAATCAGTATGATTTCAACAAAAAAATTATGATGAGCATTTTATAGACAAAAGTATCTTAATTCACATATTTTCAAATGTTTTCATTTTATTGTATCTTGACATGAATGCGCTATATTTGTTTTACATTGGGAATTATACTTATTTTGATACTATTTATAAGCTTACTGTTAATATAATGCATGATTGTCAACAATCAAAGAAATTCTAAATGGAATTAAGTTCCCATAAAATTCAAATCATTACTCCATAATTCATTTAGATGTTGTAAAATTATCAAGCATGTACTGTTACTGTTTATAAGATTTAAAATAACAGTTTATAAAGTTATCTCTAACTTAGAGTTGTATGTAAAACTGTCGATCTTTTCACTAACTTATGTAAAAATTGGTGATTTGCGCATCTTTACTTCAAGCTATGAATATGGACGCCTCTTTAGAGTTAGTCAAAATATTACGAAAAACAATAAAATTAGTGTTATACAAAGCAGTGGTCAATTATTCAGACAAGAGGGTGAGAACAAATGGCCAAATGCCATTCAATTATCGTTTCATGAATTGACTAAAACAATTAAGTGTTTGTCATGTATGTCTAGTTGATCACAGCTTTACATAAAAATATATACTTTTAAGGGACCTTCAATTCCAGTTAGCTAGTTCTATTTATTGTAGTGAATATTGCTGTTGGATGGATCATCATAAAGATTTTTGTGAGACCAAATAGTAATTTTTTACACATTTACCTGTTTTAGGTAATATAAATAATGAATTTCTTTATATAAAATCAAAAATATCACAAAAAATGTATAGCATATCACATTTAAAAAAAAAGCACAAAAATCAAATTGAATGATCCATCCAAATGAGTAAATGATTACAATATATTTTGTTGAAAATTATAATGAACTGCTGTGGAGTAGTAGATTTTGTGCTCGTACAAATAATATGCAGCATTTGGAAATAAGTGAAAGAAGAATTCTAAATAAGGTAAAATGTGACCCATGACCAGAGTTCATGCAGCCAAACTGTACCTACCTACCTACTGTAGTATAACTTTTGAATTTAATGTGAACATTTTAGCAATCTGATTGATACCCACTGACATACATTTCGAAATGTGTAAAATGGAAAAACATAACATTTTTATGTTATTGAAAATAAAATGAATCCAAAAAATTATATGCTGTTTTTGTTTTATTTACTTTAGACAATTATTACACCTTCCTAAAACCTTCTAATAAAGCCTACCTGGGCTTTAAAAATGGAACTTATTGTGCCCTAGTAGACCCAGCTGTAGCCAGATAACACACACACATACATCTTATTCACATTACACATAGATTAAGAAAGCTACTTACTTACCTCGGCATTTATTATAATAGATTTAAAGGAGAAAGGCCTATGAATAATAGGTATTTTTAGTCACAAAACCGTCTTCAACCTACTTACTTGCTACTGCCAGAAATAATATCAGGATTTGATAAAAATGAATCTACAATACCTAATCGGAGACTGGGGACCTTCTTTGGGGCATGTTACATACACAAAACACAACTACTCCTATCGGAAAGTGACTAAACTTCACTGTTGTTGACTTCTTGTTGATTTCATAATTTTCTGAATTAAGTTACAATCAAATAACAGTGCATACTTAATTCTAATTATTTAACATCTGACTTACCTTCAATATCAATATCAATATCATCACACCTGAACAATACGGATTTCAAAAGGGAAAATCAACTACCCTTGCATGCTTTGATCTAGTTCACAATACTATCCTTGGACTTGATGAAAAACAGCATACATCGGTGCTCTTCTTCGATATGTCCAAGGCATTTGATTTCGTGGTTCATGAGGTCTTATTAGACAAGTTGGAAATGAGTGGAATAAGAGGCCTTTGCCTGTCCTGGCTAAAAACTTACCTAGAAAACAGACATCAATGCGTAGAAATAAATAAGGTAAATGAACAAAATATAAATGCATCATATCGATCTACCTATAAAGTAAATAAATTTGGAGTACCTCAGGGTAGTGTGCTGGGTCCAGTTTTGTTCTTGCTTTATATTAATGATCTTCCGAGAGTGACAAAACATCGGTGCATAATGTTTGCTGATGATATTTCTATTATAATTAAATCCACCCATAATGACAATTTAAATAAATTTGAAAATGACATCAATGACACAATCAAAAATATAATTCAATATCTTAATACAATAAATCTGCATGTTAACTTGACTAAAACTAATTTTATGAATTTTAATATAAAAGGACCAACAACAAATATGCTAAATATACAATATGATAAAACAAATATCCAGAAAACTAACAGGGTTACTTTTCTGGGTATAGTATTGGACGAGAATCTAAACTTTGTCGGCCATATTGATAAAGTGTGCAGCAAAATCAATAGATTTGTCTTCGTTTTAAGGCGACTAAGAAAGGTGACGTCTCTCAAAGTAACCTTGGCTGCCTATTATGGATATGTCGCCTCCAATATCAATTATGGTCTTCTTCTATGGGGCAATAGTATCCATATAAATCGGGTATTTATCGCACAGAAAAAGTGCATACGAGCAATTTGTGGTAAGGGTCCATTTGAATCATGCAAACCTTTGTTCCTTAAGCTGAACATACTTTCCGTCCCGGGTATGTATATCTTGGAAGTATTCAAATTTGTCAAGCAACATCCAGAACTATTTAAAACGGCCGCCGAGGTCTATCCTCGACACACAAGAAATAGCGACAGGCTTGTTCTGGATCGTCAATTACGAACGACTTTTTGCCAGAAAGGTTGTTACTGCATGTGTGTAAAACTGTTTAATAGGATCCCAAAGCAATTCAAACAAGGATGTTTAAAACTGATGACCAAGAATCTACGAGATTGGCTGATAAAAAAATGCTATTATAGTATTACGGAATTCCAAAATGATAATGTATGTTGACTTTTTGTGATTTGNTTTAAGGAATAATTTGAAGTCATTTTCCTTGTGCTGTATAAAGACTAATATAATACCTACTTTTCACAATTTTAGCGGGACTGGGCCCATAACCTATTAAAACACACGTAGGTTCGGTAACGCACTGACGCTTTATTTTTATAGACCACAGACAATACAAGTCATAGATATTATAAGTCAAAGATATTATAACAATTCTACCTTAAATTTATTGATTTATTAAGGATAATAAATTTTAAATTGACATGATAAATAATTACCTAATACGGAATACAATTATATATGAGTGGTAATCGTTAATTTAATAATATTGTACTATCTAATTGAAAACTTATTGTAATTTATAAAAAGTCGTTTTAAGACGAAAATTTGCATGCTGTGTCATCATAGTTAAATAGGTGAAAGCAACATTTATCTCTTTGAAACACCTTTTTGTAAACCCTATTTATTGCAAATAAATAATTTGAATTTGAATTTGAATAAAATTAATAACTTAAATCAAGTCTTAATACGGTCACGGCTCAAGATTTTTTTGTCCATTTCAGCGTTCTTTTTACTCTTTTGACGTTGCGTTGACAGCTTTTACCTAAATTCGCGCGGAATATTTTTGTGAAATGGCTCTTAACGCTAAAAATTAAATATTTATGTATGTTTTCCAAATAAAATAATTAATAGCATTTAAAGGAAAGAAAACATGTTAGTGTTTTTTTTTTTATTTTAACTTTATATTTTATGTGATCAAAATCTTCACGAGTAAAGTCGCGTGATAATGCTAGTATTAAATAATACACCAGTCATATTCTGCTAACAAACTATCACACTATTCTCCCAATGTCAATGCTCTACGATTTCTTTCTTGTCCACCGTTAACAAATCCAATCCTATTGTATGGAGTTTCCCACGTTTTTCTCATATTTCTACAATGCGTTTTATAATGTTTCCTAATATAGTAATCTTAATTATATAAATAAAATTTTCTTTCAACAATTTCTTCACTCGTTATTTCGTTAATGATAATCGCACGCTGTTTAAATCGACTTAAAAACAAATGTTTTTTTTTATGTATTAATGTAGTTTTTGTCATGATACAGTCTTCATAGTTAATGTGATAATCTTAGTTTTAACAGAATACAATCTTTTTTTGTCCTGCCAAGGAATTGAAGCTAGAACCAGGCCTGTTCATCTCCGCGAGTTTACATCGAAAACAAAACACGCACGATGGCCCACCTACAGGATACTATTCGACAAGGCCTCACATACGAGCGAACATTGACTCACGCACGCGTATTCTTGTGTATGATGGAAGAAAATAAAGAAAATGGTGTACTAAATACTGTGCAGTATTTAACTGCCTAAATAATAATAAAAACACAGAATGTACTTGTTTAAGTTGCCTCAAGACACTGAGAGGTAAATAAGTAGTTAATATTATTCATGATAATTCATGCTA